CGCACACAACAGGCAGAACAAGAAAATTCGACTTCGACTATGTTTACACTGTACCTTTGCATTCTAACATCTGACATGCCTACAGCTATAGCAGATACGATCGCACTGACCATATGAGATGACTTCGAAGAACATATCACGTGAACATTAGGCAAGTGAAGATACTTCGACAACATCAGTCTGCACACTGTATCTCTGTATTTTATCATCTCACATGGATACCTTTGGAGAATATCAGTTCGCAACGATCCTATAACACGACATTGAAGCGGAGATAACGCACACAACAGGCAGAACAAGAAACTTCGACTTCGACTATGTTTACACTGTACCTTTGCATTCTAGCATCTGACATGCCTACAGCTATAGCAGAAACGATCGCACTGACCATATAAGTTGACCTCGAAGGACATATAACGAGAACAATAGGCAAGTGAAGATACTTCGACAACATCAGTCTGCACACTGCATCCCTGAATTCTATCATCTCACATGGATACCTTAGGAGCATTGTAGTTCGCAACGATCACATGAGTTGACATCGAATCGTGTATAACGCACACAACAGGCAGAACAAGAAACTTCGACTTCGACTATGTTAACACTGTAACTTTGCATTCTAGCATCTGACATGCCCATAGTTATAGCAGATACGATCGCAATGACCATATAAGATGACTTTGAAGGACTCATAACGGGAACGATAGGCAAGTGAAGATACTTCGACAATATCAGGCCGCACACTGTACCTTTTGAGAATATCAGTTCTTAACGATCATATGAGACGACATCAAATCGAACACAACAGGAAGAACAAGAAATTTCGACTTCGACTTTGTGCTCTGAATTCTAGCATCTGACATGCCTACAGTTGAAACAGATACGATCGCACTGACCATATAGAAATACTCTGAAGGACATATAACGAGATCAATAGGCAAGTGAGGAGACTTCGACAACATCAGTCTGCACACTGTATCTCTCTATTTCATCATCTCACATAGATACCTCTGGAGCATATCAGTTCGCATCGATCATATGAGACGACATCAAAACGGGTAGATCGCATACAACAGGCAGAACAAGAAACTTCTACTTCGACTATATTTACACTGTAACTTTACATTCTAGCATCCGACATGCCTACAGTTATAGCTGATACGATCGCACTGACCATATAGGACGACTTCGAAGGACATATAACGAGAACAGTAAGCAAGTAAAGATACTTCGACAACATCAGTCTGCACACTGTATCTCTGTATTTTATCATCTCACATAGATACTTCTGGAGCATATATGTTCGCACCGATCATATAAGACGACATCGAAGCGAGTGTAACGCACACAACAGGCAGAACAAGAAACTTCGACTCCGACTATGTTCACACTGTAACTCCGCATTCTAGCATCCGACCTGCCTGGAGCTATAGCAGATACGATCGCCCTGACCAAATAAGACGACTTCAAAGGACATATGACGAGAACAATGGGCAAGTGAAGATATATTTCGACAACATCAGTCTGTCCACTGTATCTCTGTATTCTATCATGTCACCATACCTTTGGAGCATGGTAGTTCGCAACGATCATATACATCGAATCGGGTATGAAGCACAAACGCACACAACAGGCAGAACCAGAAAATATGATTTCGACTATGTTTACTCTGTAACTTTGCATTCTAGCTTCTGACGATCGCACTGCCAAATATGACGACTTTGAAGGACTTATAACGAGAACAAATAGCGAGTTAAGCTTCGATAACATCAGTCTGCACACTGTTCCTCTTTTTTCTATCATAGTCGGAGTCGAAGTTTCCTGTTCTTCCTGTTGTATTCGTTATAGCCGTTTTGATGTCATCTCATATGATCGTTGCGAACTGATATGCTCCTAAGGTATCCATGTGAGATGATAAAATACAGAGCTACAGATTGCGGACTGATGTCGAAGTATCCTCACTTGCCTATTGTTCTCGTTATAAGTCCTTCAAAGTCGTCTTATATGGTCAGTGCGATCGTCAGATGCTAGAATGCAAAGTTACAGTGTAAACATAGTCGAAGTCGAAGTTTCTTGTTCTGCCTAATGTGTGCGATATACCTGCTTCGAAGTCATCTTATGGGATCGTTGCGAACTGATATGTTCCAGAGGTATCCATGTAAGATGATAGAATACAGAGATACAGTTTGCAGACTGATGTCGAAGTCTCTTCACTTGCCTATTGTTCTCGTGATATGTCCTTCCAAGTCGTCTTATATGGTCAGTGCGATCGTATCTGCTATAACTGTAGGCATGTCAGATGCTCGAATGCAAAGTTACAGTGTAATTATAGTCGGAGTCGAAGAATCTTGTTCTGCCTAATGTGTGCGTTATACCCGCTTCGATGGCGTCTAATATGATCGTTGCAAACTTATATGCTCCAGAGGTATTCATGTGAGATGTTAGTATACAGAGATACAGTGTGCAGACTGATGTCCAAGTATCTTCACTTGCCTATTGTTCTCGTTATATGTCCTTCGGAGTTGTCTTGTTTGGTCAGTGCGATCGTTTCTGCTATAGCTATAGGTATGTCAGATGCTAGAATGCGGAGTTACAGTGTAAGCATGGTCGGGGTCGAAGTTTCTTGTTCTGCCTGTTGTGTGCGTTATACCCACTTCGATGTCACATATGCGAACCAAAATGCTCCAAAGGTATTCATGTGAGATAATAGAATACAGAGATACATTGTGCAGACTGATGTTGTCGATGTATCTTCACTTGTCTATTGTTTTCATTATATGTCCTGCGGAGTCGTTTAATATGGTCAGTACGATCGTATCTGCTTCAACTGTAGGCATTTCAAATGCAAGAATTCAGAGCCACAATGTCAACATAGTCGAAGTCGAAATTTATTGTGTCTCCTGTTGTGTGACATATGATCGTTGCGAACTTATATGCTCCAAAGGCACATAAGTGAGATGATAGAATACAGAGGTACAGTGTGCAGACTGATGTTGTCGAAGTATCTTCACTTGCCTATTGTTCTCGTTATATGTCTTTAACTGTAGGCATGTCAGATGCTAGAATGCAGAGTTATAGTGTGAACATAGTCGAAGTCGAAGTTTCTTATTCTGCCTATTGTGTGCGTTTCACCTGATTCGATGTCATCTCATATGATCGTTGCGAACTACCATGCTTCAAAGGTATCCATGTGAGATGGAAGAAGACAGAGATGCAGTGTGCAGACTGATGTTGTCGAGGTATCTTCACTTGCCTATTGTTCTCGTTATATGTCTTTTGAAGTCGTCTCATATGGTCATTGTGATCGTATCTGCTATAGCTGTAGGCATGTCAGATGCTAGAATGCGGAGTTACAGTGTAAACATAGTCGGAGTCGAAGTTTCTTGTTCTGCCTGTTGTGTGCGTTATACCCGCATCGATGTCGTCTTATATGATCGTTGCGAACATATATGCTCCAGAGGTATCTATGTGAGATGATAGAATACAGAGATACAGTGTGCAGACTGATGTTGTCGAAGTATCTTCACTCGCCTATTGTTCTCGTTATATGTCCTTCTAAATCGTCCTATATGGTCAGTGCGATCATATCTGCTATAACTGTAGGCATGTCAGATGCTAGAAAGTAAAGCTCCAGTGTCAATATAGTCCAAGTCGGAGTTTCTTGTTCTCCCTGTTGTGTGCGTTATACCCGTTTCGATGTTGTCACATATGATCGTTGCGAACTGATATGCTACGAAGGTATCCATGTGAGATGATAGAATACAGAGATACGGTGTGCGAACTGATCATGTCGAAGTATCCTCACTTGCCTATTGATCTCGTTATATGTCTCTCGAAGTCGTCATACATGGTCAGTGCGATCGTATCTGCTATAACTGTAGGCATGTCAGATACTGGAATGCAAAGTCACAGTGTGAACATAGTCGAAGTCGAAGTTCCTTGTTCTGCCTGTTGGAGGCTTTATACCCGTTTTGATGTCGTTCCATATGATCGTTGCGAAATGATATGCTCCAGAGGTATCCATGTGAGATGATGAAATGAAGAGATACAGTGTGCAAACTGATGTTGTCGAAGTATCTTCACTTGCCTATTGTTCATTCCATATGTCCTTCGAATCCATCTCAAATGGTCAGTGCGATCGTATCTGCTCCAACTGTAGGCATAACAGATGCTGGAATTCAGAGCCACTGTGCAAACATAGTCGAAGTCGAAGTTTCTTGATCTCCTTGTTGTGTGCGGTATTCCCGCTTTGATGCCGTCTCATATGGTCTCCACGATCTATTCTGCTCCAATAGTATCCATGTGAGATGATAGAATGGGGAGATACAGCGTGCACTCGTATTTATCCTCCCAAGTCGTCTTTATACGGTCAGTGCGAGCGAATCTGCTTCAACTGTATGCTTGTCAGCTGCTGGAATGCAGAGTTGTATTGTGAACATTGTCGAAGTCGAAGTTTATTGTTCTACCTGTTGTGTGCGTTATAACTGCTTTGATGTCATATCATATGATCGTTGCTAACTAATTTGCTAAGAAAGTATTCATGTGAGATACATACCCGCTTCGATGTCGTCCTATATAGTCATCGCGAATTTGTCTGCTCCAAAAGTGTCCATGTGAAATCAATGGATAGAGAGATAAAGTGTGCAGACTGATGAAGTCGATGTATCTTTATTTGCCCAAGGCATGTCAGATGCTAGATTGCAGAGTTACCGTGTAAACATAGTCGGAGTCGAAGTTTCTTGTTCTACGAGCTGTGTGCGTTATGCCTGCTGAGAGTCGCTTTATATGATTATTGCAAACTTGCCTTCTTCAATAGTGTCCATGTGAGATGATAAGTTAGGGAGATATAGTGTGCACGACGATGAAGTCAATGGTTTTTCCATTCGCTTATTGTACGACTTGATAGGACTTATAACGAGAACAATAGGCAAGTAAAGATACCTTCAAGTACAACCTTCAAGTTCAACCTTCGAGTTCAACCTTCAAGTTAAACCTTTAAGTTCAACCTTCAAGTTCAACCTTCAAGTAAAACCTTCAAGTTCAACCTTCAAATTCAACCTCCAAGTTCAAACTCCAAGTTCAACCTTCAAGCTCAAACTGCGAGTTAAACCTTCAAGTTCCACCTTCAAGTCAAACCCCCAAGTACAACCTTCAAGTTCAACCTTCAAGTTCAACTCCAAGTTCAAATTACAAGTTCAACCTTCAAGTTCGACCTTCAAGTTCAAACTCCGAGTTCAACCTCCAAGTTCGAACTTCAAGTAGAACCTTCAAGCTCAAACTCCAAGTTTAACCTTCAAGCTCAAACTCCAATTTGAAACCTTCAAGTTCAACCTTCAAATTTTTACTTCAAATTGAACCTTCAAGTTCAACGTTCAAGTTCAACCTTCAAGTTCAAACTTCAAGTTCAACCTTCAAGTTCAACCTTCAAGTTCAAACTCCGAGATCAACCTTCAAGTTCAACTTTGAAGTTCAACCTTCAAGTTCAACCTTCTACTTCATCCTTCAAGTTTAACGTCAATTTCAACATTGAAATTCAATCTTCGAGTTCAACCTTCAAGTTCAACCTTCAAATTGAACCTTCAAGTTCAAAATTCACGTTCAAACTTCAAGTTCAAACTTCAAGTTCAACTCTCGAGTTGAACCTTCAAGTTGAACCCCCAAGTACAACCGCCAAGTTTGACCTTCAAGTTCAAACTCCGAGTTCAACCTCCAAGTTCGAACTTCAAGTAGAACCTTCAAGCTCAAACTCCGAGTTTAACCTTCAAGCTCAAACTCCAATTTGAAACCTTCAAGTTCAACCTTCAAGTTTTTACTTCAAATTGAACCTTCAAGTTCAACGTTCAAGTTCAACCTTCAAGTTCAAACTTCAAGTTTAACCTTCAAGTTCAACCTTCAAGTTCAAACTCCGAGATCAACCTTCAAGTTCAACCTTGAAGTTCAACCTTCAAGTTCAACCTTCTAGTTCATCCTCCAAGTTTAACTTCAATTTCAACATTGAAATTCAATCTTCGAGTTCAACCTTCAAATTCAACCTTCAAATTGAACCTTCAAGTTCAAAATTCACGTTCAAACTTCAAGTTCAACTTTCAAGTTGAACCTTCAAGTACAACCTTCAAGTTGAACCTCCAAGTACAACCTCCAAGCTCAACCTTCAAGTTCAACCTTCATGTTCTACTGCGAGTTCAAACTTCAAGTTCAACCTTCGAGTTCAACCTACAAGTGGAATCATAATTATTGGTATACGTTGTTTGAATGTTTGGTGTTGTAATATGCGTCAGATTATCATTATTATTCATAGTAACTAACCTACACCGTTTCCCCCGCAATCATCTAAATTCTAAGTCATTTTTCCCCAGATTCTACGAAAATTAGAGTGTTGCATGGAGGAAAGCCCCATAAGAGCCCATGTGTTAGAGAGAGACAGATAATGCAGATTTTCCCCAGATCTACGGACTTTTTTCCATGAATTTTAAGGTTCAAAGTAGCAAAAATGGCTCTCTTCCAAGGTTTCCGACGAGTGAGCTTCCTGCAAGCTGGTGACGGGAATACATATCTACAATAACAAGATAGATACATAATAGGGTGTGCCGAATGGAAAATTTTAGTGAGCTAACTGATTTTGCGTGTTCACCAACGGTGCTAGGGGTTAGGTGGGTGACGTAAGGTGCTGAGGTGGGTGGACTACCTTCCGTGCGAACGATATAGTAATAGTAATAAGTTCTCGTTCGAAAGGATTATCCTTCGTGCGATCCAAAAGATTATGGATACTCGTCTTGTAATGTTTAAAATCTGTCGAAGACGTTGCAGACCTTCTGGTAGGTAAACTGAAGAACCCTGACGCATACCTCGGAATGTTTTTCAGTGTGCCTGGTCCTCAGATTTTTGGTAATTTGGGCTGATATTATTTTGAGTTAGAAATCACCCTGTTCACGTTTCCTATGCCATGATCTCATCAGTGTAATGAATTCAATAATAATTTGCTAGGTGTGTTTGTTTATCACGCTCGATCATCGATTAACATGATACCATGGCCACTATGCAGTTCAATAACAAGTGCTCCAGACCTCCATGATCGCATTGATATTTACGTAATAATTCCAAATCGTGATTTCAGGTGTTTGTCTATGATCGCACGTAGTTCATTCTGTTCAGCAAGTTAGTGTTAAGACAAGAGGGTAGGAGAGGGGTGAAAATGGATGCTACAAAATCAAACTGATCAGGAAGCTATTTCAAATCTGTTTCAAGGAAGAAATCTTCCAAAAATTCATTCGTAAGCTCTTGTTTGGAATTTCTATTATTCAGACAAGAGGGTAGGAGAGGGGTGGAAATGAAAACGAAACACCTCTACTTTTCAGTTCTCCAAAAATCTATCACATCTATATAATACAAGTTGGATAAATAGCTTGCGAAATCAATTCATCATTGAAACAGAAACCAATGGAAACTATCATACTAGCAGGATTATTGGGAGTATAGAAATCGCAGCCCATTTCCACACCACCAGGAGGTAGAGCTATGGCGCGTTGCTTCTTTTTTGAAAGTGGGAAGCTTCCCCAGGAGGCCTACTGCAACCACTTGATTAATAATTAATTTGTGATAGATATATTTCTTGATCTTACTCATTCTTAGATTCGTGGTGAGGGAGGGTGGGAGGGGAGTGCAAAGCATAAATTTCAAATAATTTATTTCTTTACATAATATATACATTCAAACTAATTCATTTCTATTGCATCATTATCCAACATACTTGTTGATGGAATAGAATAATGTCCCAATGGGAGAGTTTCATTAGTACCAGGAATCAAGTAGCGTTTATCATCATTTGCGCTCAACGCTATCTTCTGTTGTGTGGTTGAAAATACAGTATATTTTTGTGCTCTGATGAAATTTTGTGAAACTGTTTTCTGCTCATGAGTTTCCAGACATTTGACGTAATCTTCGAAAGTGATATTCGTTTCAACGACAGATGATTTCACGCCTTTAGCTTTCTTTGTGGTACCCATATTCATAATGATTTCATCGATTTCATCCTGTTCATAGTCTTTTGCTTGTAATTCTTTCCTTTTCAGCACTATATCATCTTCAGTTATCAACACTCTCGTCGTGTATAATTTTGATCGGAGTCCAACATAATCTGTCATTATAACAGAATTATTCTCATCTTTTAACATGCCCAACACCTTTTTGTTAACTTGAGGAATGCCATGGACGTTATCGATAGGATAATCTGAAGTATCGAAAAAGGAATGGCAATCTCTCTTCATAACTTCATAAGGATTGTGTCTTCTTATCTCATAGATTAAAGAATCTGTATCGGTGTAACATATGGTACACTCATTACTAAACTCTTTGAGCATGTACTCGTAGTGGAAACCATAGATGGTTGTTTTTGCAAGATCTAGAATGGCTTGTCCTACGTATATGGGCTTATTCAACCAGATTTCTAATTTCTTAAGTTCTACTGCAACCAAGTTCTCATTGAAAATGGTACAGTTCTTGAACTCAGGTTTTGAGATATAAGCCTCAGCACTATAGCGGCCACTCCACTCCGTTAAAAGTCGAACGTTCACCCTCTTCCTAACGTTTTCCATCGTTTTTCCGAAAACAGCATTATTCATAAGTTTGAACAGATTCTTCTCGAATGTATTTTTAGCTTGTTTACGGAGGTCAGTGTTGAGGTCTATATAGGATTTGAGCCACGTTGATTGCCGGAATCTGAGCACTCGGTGGATCTTTTTCAACACTAGGCCATGTGCTAACGCTTGTTTGAGAGCTCGGTAATGTATAACATAGTTTGTTTTATGGTTCAGCGTAGCCATCAACTTTGTTAGTTCCTTTGAGGTCTTCGGAGGTTTCATTGTTTTGGGGTTGATATTTTCGGGGCAGAATGGTATATCTTTATGGGTGTCATGGATATTCTGGGGATAGTCTAGGTCAACCTCCAAAATATATCCTTCCTTAGCATCGTCGGATATGGATGTTACATCAATGTTAGTGTCGGTCCACTCGAAACCTCCGTACGGTAATGCCTGGGACATAGCCCACCCATATTGATTATTGACGTCATAATACATCAGGTATGAGTCAGGCTTCGCAGGATCATAGGTAGGTATGAACTTGTTGTTCGCTTCAGCTCTTCTTTTCGAGCAAATCTGACTGAGGCCGCCTCGAATTCCTCGTTCAACAAACAGAAACATATCTATATCGGTAAGAAGTTGCAAGTCTTGCTTTGTATGCTTTAGCATGCAATCCCATGTATATCCAGGTAATGTGAAGTAATGAGCAGGATCGAGACCATAGGTGTTGTGACAGCTAGTTCGGATTTGTTCAAAAACATCGGTCAATAGCATGATGTCCGTCTTCATATAGAGGTCCACATATTGACCCAAGTTTTGACAGCAAAATTTATCCCAAACATGTTGAGCTCGCAGATAATGTCTACGGGGACAAGGTTTATCATATAGTTTGTTATAGAAAGAAGCAATAGGAGGCAGCTGAGTTTCATTGAATCTTTCGAATGAATCAATATAATCGTACGGCATTACTCCTTTTTTGGTCAATAGCTTGTAATGTTCTTCAGGAATGACGCAAAATTGTGATTTCAAGTTAGGAAAATCATTTAGATGCGATGCCAGCATGTCCAGGGAAGAGTTCATGAATCGAAAGCTGTCGATAAATCTAAACTGAAGAGAAGTCCCGTCAGCATGTTTAGAGAAAGAGATGTATTTCTCTTTGGTAATTGGTAATAAATCAACTCGGCCCTTCATCTTAGATGCTATATCCTCAATGATGAAATTCGCATCATACCCACTTAGATTGTGGAACACAACAGGCACCACATGGCTATCCTGGTATCGAATGTTGCAGCTTTCATGGGCTGGACCTCTATAATTATTCTCAGGAATTAGATGAAAATGGTCTCTAACTTTCTTATCGTTGAGCCCAAAAGGTTGTTCGCAGATGTGGCAGTGTGTAGCTCTTTGGAACTCCACTTCCTGCTCAGTGGTCATGTCGATATTATATGGACATAGATACACCGTAGCCATATCTTCGGCTAGTTGGCCCATCTCTTTGGCAAACCATTGCATACAGTCCTCACCTCGATGTGCTCTATAAAATGAGAGAGAGTCGTCATAAGAACACTTGAGAAAATACCCTGCAGCAGCCGGAATATGCTGTTTTGACTTCTTAGGATTTCCAGTAGGGCTTAAAACAGACTCTAAATCAGCATAGACGATGAATGGGCTCTTCTCTTCGTTTTT